TAGTAGCGTTGAACCTGGAACTTGCTTTGGGAATCCGGTAAGGAATAGGTAGGTACAGGTAGGTAGAGGTACCTAGGTAGGTAGAGGTATCTAATAAAAACCGTATAAACTCGGGGCGTTGATTTTCAACTTCCTAGGAAATCAGGCATAATCTGTAAGCATGCTGCCCGATTATGTGCATTCTATGCCCACCAAATTAATGGGAGGAGACATCCATGTTGCCACCCCGAAGCACGGTGAATCCGATTCTTCAATGTCCTGCCTTTTCACACCTATCTTTTCAAGGGCGCTGGAGGGTGGAGACATTCAAAATCACCGTCTTGCATATAATCTTTGGTGGGCATGAATGTTGCAGTATGCTTACTGCTTAGGCCTGATTTCCCAGAAAGTTGAAAATCAACGCCCCGTGTCTATACGGTATGCGACCTCACCTCCAACTTACCATCCAGGTAAAGTAAAGAATATGGAGGAAGAACTGAAGCTTCCCCGCCTTGTGTGACAACCAAATAAACGGTAGGCACAGAAGAATAAGACCCCGTTGAAGGCGAGGAGTCATGAATCGAGAGCGAGATCAAGTACTGATTGATTGATCTCTTACAACAGTAGAGTGACGCGTAACTTAAGTCCCGTCTCCCTCTCTGTTCGGGCCGAATGGCCACAATGTCACCCGCAACGTGGGGGGCAGAACACACTGGAACTGATGCGAGATGTTATTTCCAGTCTCACCGGATTCTCATTTCTCTGCAACCACACTCGCACGCCCATACCAGTGCTCAGCCCGTTTAAGGCATAACAGTTTGGATGTTATACCCTGCGAACTGGCAGGGCCACGAAGTTCAGCGACAGTACACTACTGGTACCAATGGTGTTTTTGACGTACATTTGGAAACTGTGTTAAACCCACGGCCGAAGCCATGGTTACGTACTAGGCTGTCGGCAAAGCCAAAGCTACCTTTACCTATGTAACCACTAGAGGTACTATTCCTCCTTCTTGAGATGACTGAATTGGTTGAAAGAATGTAACGAATCAGCCGATATTGTGGGCCACAGTCATACTGCGTCTAGCAGCTTCGTCATCGCCTTTTGCACCGTTTTCTTTACCTCGCACACCAAGTGAAGTTTCGAGGGCAAAAATACCACACTGCTCACCATGGCAAACCCCATAATGGAAGAGTTGAAGCAAAAGCAAGATGCTCTAAGGGCGAGGTTCGTCGGCAAGCAGCTGTCCGAGGTCCCTACGCCCAGCGTCGTCCTTGACCTTAAACAGGTCATGGTGAACTGTGAGCGCATGCTCGAAGCAGCCGAAAACCTTGGCCTGCAATGGAGAGCTCATATCAAGACTCACAAAGTACTACAATGGATCATGACCCAGTTAAACGACAAAATAAAACTGTCACTGACAACTGGAAACAACATATAGACAACAGAGCTTACCCGCCTCCAAGTCGGAAACCACCTCACCATTCCCGTCCTGCTAATCGTCTCAACCATCCTTGAAGCCGAAAATATCACTCCCCTCCTCAAAGAATACCAATCCAAAGACCGCCATGTCAACGTTCTCTTCTCCTTCCCGCTCTTCGCATCCGCCGTCCCCCGTCTCGCCGCCGTCTCTTCTCAGCTCGGCCCCGATGGCTTGTCCGTTATGATCGATCACGTCGATCAGCTCCCCTACGTCAAGGCCATCCACACTTCCTCAGGACACCCTCCCCGCGTGTTCATCAAAATCGACGTCAACTACGGCCGCGCCGGCGTCAAGACCGACTCTCCCGAGTACCCAGCTCTAGTCGACGTCCTCCTGGCTGCTGAGCGGGAAGGATGGTTGGTGCTGCATGGCTTGTATACACATGCCGGGCAGAGCTACGGGGCTCGCAGGCTCGGAGATGCTATGCATGCTCTTCACGCTGAATTCATCAACGCCCATATTGCTGCCATGAAGATTCGCGAAAAGAGTCCGGACCATGCTCCTCTGGTGTTGTCGGTAGGTGCGACGCCAACGGCGACGACGATCCAGAGCCCTTGGTTTACAGGGGAGTGCGATGTGCCCACGGCAAACTCGAAGGGAAGCATGAGACCAATTGAGGAGGAGCTTAAGGAGTTGTGGGGCGGTTGGCAGAAAGAGGGATATGTGCTTGAAATTCATGCTGGTGTTTAGTGAGTTGGTCCTTTTCACCCTGGTGCTGGCTGACTTTTTTCTTCTATATACATGCGGCCTCATTGTGCTAACTCGGATCTTTCAGCCCGACCCTCGATCTCCAACAGGTCGCAACTCACGCACGACACATCGGTCTTCTTTCTGAAGAAGATATCGGCATCAGCGTAGTTGCCGAGGTCGCCTCCGGTATGCAAAACTCTCTCCATGGATCCCGTAACATTGCAGGAGAGCTAATTTCCCCTGTCCAAAACAACAGTCTACCCAACCCGCGGTCAAAACTCAAAGCCTGAAGCCCTCATCAATGCCGGCTCTCTGGCCCTTGGCCGCGAGCCCGTGAGCCTAGACAAGAAAACGAGCAACAACGAGGAGACTGCCAAGCCGTACACTGGCTGGGGCGCCCTGATGCCCTGGGGCGTTCTAGCAGGAACGGAAGAAAAGGACAGGAGCGGCAAGATTCTTGGCGAGAGGTTTCCTAATGACTTTAGGGGCTGGCAGGTCGGCAAGATTAGCCAGGAGCACGGTATTTTGACTTGGGTAGGGGATGAAGGGAAGAAGGCGCCCGAACTTAAGGTGGGTGATAGGGTAAGGGTGTGGCCCAACCATGCTTGCATCATGGGGGCGGGGTTCGAGTACTATCTGATTGTTGACTCGAATTGCCGGGGGCAGGAGGATAAGGTTCGCGATGTTTGGTGTAGATGGAATGGGTGGTAATTATCACGAACGGGGTAAAGATTAAAGTGCTTCGGAAGCGAGGATAGAGAGGTCATAATCACCCAACTTCAACAGGCCAATTTCTGATTTTGATCCATGCATACAAAGATGAAATATAGCTTTCCTACAAATGCTACGTTACAATGCACTCAGGCGAGTTTATGTCTCCTGAAAGTCACTGGAATATAGCTGTTGCATGTAAACAAAAAAAAATGTGGTTGGCGTGGCAACCGCTATGGGCCGTCGTTTCCCCCTCCAGCTTTGGCGTATCCGCGCTGTTGTCCAGGGCACCTACAGTTAGCTTCTGCGGTGAACGAACTGTCCCATCAGGGGCAACTTCCGAGAACCGGCGCGTTCACCATACTTCCTTGCGACCTACCTACAACCACCACACCTGAACTCCAAGGTGATGACCACATCCAACACCATACATCACATCTCCAGTTATCGTTGCGCCAGATCTTGGACAATTTATAGAGCCTCCGCTCTCAATCACAACCCAGCAAACGAATGTCACGAGAATGCCCATAATATCGGAGGAAGAAGAGGAGGATGGCACGATGCTGTCCCAACCTTCAGAAGAAGACAACCACGATGATGGCTCGATGTCCGGAGACGAGGATTCTTACGACGAGGATGACATCTCGGACGACGACGGCGACGACGACGAGCACCTTGCGCCCCCACCGCCCGTCTCGCAACATACCTTTGCCCCTCCCTTCTACGGTCGCCCACCGACCCCTCTCCCGCCCTCCCCCTCTTTAACCTCCCTGCTACGCCCCTCGCGTCCCACTACCCCGGACGCCTCCGACGACGAGACAGTAGCCAACGGCGGCGGTGGGGGTCCAGAGGGCAGCAACGAGCCCCTCCCGCGCGCCAGCCCCCGCGTACCCACGTACGAGTACTACGGCTTCGTCCTCTACCTCTTCAGCAGCCTGTCGTTTTTGATCTACCTACTATGGGCCTACCTGCCTTCGCCGTTCCTGCATGCGTTGGGCATCTACTACTACCCCAACCGGTGGTGGTCGCTGGCCATTCCGAGTTTCCTGACAATGACGCTGGTGTACATCTACGTGGCGCTGGCGGCTTACAATACCGAGTACCTCACGCTGCCGTTGGGATCAATTGAGACGATTGTGGATGAGGCGGCGCAGGTGGCGGTGGTGGATGGGAAGGGTCAGATCATTAGGCATGATAAGAAAGGTGGCGTCAGGGAGGAGAAGAGACAGTATGGGCATGGCTATGGACATGGGAGGCATGGGTCGACGGATAGGGAGGTGCTGTTACCTGGGGGAGGATTGAATTGGAGGGAGGTCTGGAATGAAGGGACGGATGCGGTGATGGATGTGCCACTGGCGGGAGTTTGTGAGGTTTTGTATGGAGAGGGGAGGGAGAAAGGGGTGGAGAGTGAGGAGGATGAGGAGGAGTATGAAGGAAAGGGGACGTTGCATAGTCCCGGGAATGGACTGGATGGCTCGAGAGTTGGTCGATGGAGTTGACACGGGGTTATGAAGGTCCTGAGACAGGATAGACACCTGATGTCTGCTGTTTTGTCCATTGTGAAATATGATACCCATTTGTTCTTTTTGGTGGTGGTATAATGCTCTGGGTGAATCCGTTGCCGGTATCGTATACAGCTGAGAGTTCCACTTCCCATGGATGTCGTAACTTGACTTCTAGACTAGTGAGTTCGTGAGCTCTGGATCAGCAACGACAGGCCAGCGACAATCTTTGAGGGGTTTAACCAAGGCTAACTGCTCATATGCGTCTTACTTCTCTTCACGCTTAAAAGACCTATCAATAAGTTAACAGAGCTTTTGACAGGTTCGTTGGATTGCTATTTCCATTTTCTGTCCCTGATACCCTATTACCGTAGAGGTACGTACCGCGCCCCACTTTTGTGTAGCTGGAGGAGAGCCTGTCCGGTCTTTTACTGGTACTCTCGCGCGCGCCCCTCGTCTTTGAAGCTCTGTCGCCAAATTCCATTTGATTTCCAGTTCATCGAACTTCAACAGAACGCGACGGGACCGAGCTATTTGACGCGCAGCGCTGTTTGGAGATCCCCGCCCACACCATTTCCTCCTGTTCGATAATACACCTCAGCGTAGTATTCCATTATACAGCGTCGGTGCCTAACATGTCCCACCAACAACCTCTCTCGTCGTCGGTCCAGCCGACTGACATCTATGGCGGAGGTAAGCCTAGTCCAAACGCCTCTGACCAGCGACATTGCCCAAGCGTCAAGGCTCGCAATTGACGGCTGATTATTTCCTTAGATGAGGTATCCGCGCTTGTTCTCGATCCGGGCTACTGCAACACTCGCGCCGGCTATGCTGGCGAGGAAATGCCCAAGCAAGTTCTCCCTTCTTTTTACGGCCACATCAACGGGCGCGACGTATTCGGCGACGAGTATATCGTGCCAAAACCGGGCTTCGAAGTGCGCAACTACATGAACCGCGACAGCGTTGTCGAAGATTGGGATGCTGCCACCAGGATGTGGGAACACGTTCTCGTCAAGCGTTTGCAGCCCGAGCGATCAACACCTCCCAGCAAAAAGGGTATCAACATTAGCGACGATGGCGATGTGCCCATGGAAGACGATGGAAACAACAACGAGGATGCTATGGACGCGCTGGAGAAGCCACTGGCCGAGAACCCTCTTCTTATGACCGAGGCGCCGTGGAACTCGCCCAAGGCGCGCGAGAAGGCCATTGAAATCAGCATGGAGACCTGGGGCGTGCCCGCATTCTGGCTTAGCAAGACACCTGTGCTTGCAGCATTTGCGGCCGGAAAGGCCACGGCTCTGGTAATAGACGTAGGCGGTGCCAACACGAGTGTCACAGCCATCCACGACGGCATGGTCCTCAAGCGATCGATTCAAAGGTCTCCGGTGGGCGGTGTTTGGCTGAGCAGCCAGATCTGCAAGATGTGGGACGGTAGTGAGCCCAAGGTCGACGTTGTGCCGCGGTTCATGGTCGAGAGTAAGAAGGCCGTGGAGGCCGGTGCGCCTGCCGAAGCCAACCTGCGAAAGTTTAACTTCGACATCCACCCGTCCTTCCGCGCTTACGAGGAAGAGCGTGTTCTCACCGAGTTCAAGGAGTCTGTTGTCGAGGTGTGGCGTGGTCCCCAGCGGTTCACGACCCCGGGAAACGAAGATGCTGTCCGTACACAACCCGGCCGGGTCTTCGAGATGCCCGACGGCAGCAATCAGATGTGGCGTGAGCAGCGCTTCAAGGTGTCGGAGGGCATGTGGGACGAGACGGCTGCCTATAATAGCACTGACGAGGAAGGACGTGTGACTAAGGCTCAGACGATCCCGGCTCTCATCAAGGCGGCCCTCGAGGGTGTTGATGTTGATCTCCGCCCCAACATCCTCGGCAACGTTGTTGTCACGGGTAGTACAAGCTTGTTGAACGGTTTCAACGACCGTCTCAACCACGAGCTCGCGCAAATGTACCCCGGTGTGAAGATCAAGATCCATGCGGCGGGTTTGACGACCGAGAGACGCTTCGGTGCTTGGATCGGAGGAAGCATTCTCGCCAGTCTCGGAACCTTCCACCAAATGTGGATTTCGCGAAAGGAGTATGATGAGAACGGCGCGGGTATTGTCGAGAAGCGCTGCAAGTAGGATTTTACTTTGTCAATTGCAAAAAAAGAAAGTTGTCGAGGCATGAAGTGGCAAACCCTCCCACGCCGCGCTATGGAAATGGCCGGAGGCTACAAAACATCGGATTCCAAGTCAGGCCACAATGGTTGATGCCTAAAGTGCTCACACATTCATGGATTTTGTGTTGGGTGGAGTGTGGTGGTCATATAAGATGGGCATGGTATTTTTACGTCGCTAATTATCAGGCAGGTGTATGTTATGGTCGCACGATATGGCGCGGAGGCGTTCTGGAGTAATGGATTTTCAATGCTTTCAGCTTATGAGAGATACACGCCAACCATTGCCTGTATTGCCGGTTTTGACTTTAATCACGGCTAGATCCCAGAGCTTCAACCGTCTCCAAGTAGTTCATTTACCGTAAAGCTTCTACGTACAAAGTGTAATTCCTTTTAGACAATCCATAATCCTCTCATCAGTCCTACCTGTCAATGGGGCAGCTATACTCTCTCTTCGTTCCAAAACTAGCTCCTTTGGAAACCGCGCCCCCATGTTTCATCTCAAGAGCGTCCAGGCATGCTTGATGGTAGATGTGTCTGCAGGCCAGCACAACCAGAGGGCTAAGCTTCTGTTCCCGGTTTGCCACCATTGGCCCTTGCATGCCTTCATGTCCAGAAGTGTTTGCTTGCTGGTTCGGGTCGTTCATTGACTCCCCTTGCTGCTCCAATCGCGGGCTCACAGCCTTTCCCTTGCCCTTCCCCTTTCCATCTCCATTTGCATTTCCATTATACTTCTCCCCACCCTGGGACCCGTCCGTTGCCGGCCACGCATGATCCTTGCCCTTCCCCCGTTCAGTAGTAGCACTCGCCGCCTTGTTTTTGCTCATGGTGAGTTGCTTCCTCGCCTGGCGTTGACTCTCCTCAGCATCCTGGCGATCTTCCCACGCTTCGTAGACATTACCCGCCACACCAGGACCCCAAACTCGCCGGCCGCAGGCCTCGCAGGTGGAGCCTTTAGGACGCCAACCTCGCTGGCGGAGTTGGACGGCTTGGCTTACACTCACAAAAAGACTGCGTTCCAAAAGCCGGTTTGAGAGGCTAAGGATGGATTCTTCGTATGCGTATGCGGCGAAGATACTGGAGAGAACTGAACGGAGATCTGCAAGGTTAGGCGACGACGCCGCGGCGCGAGTGAGGAATGCGCGAAGAATACGGAGGAAGGATAGATTGGCGTTTATTGCTGGAGGTTGTATATCACCCGTGTCTGCTGGAGATCGAGAGGTACGGGTTGATGTGGACGAGAGGAGGGCTGTAAAGGTGTCTTGCACGAGCGATCGTGCCAAGGTGACAAGCTTTTCTGTCTCCAATGACACATGGAATGGTTCACTGTTGGGGTGAGAGTCGCCGTTCATAAGATGTGCTTGTGTTGAATCATTTGGTGGTGGTAGCTGCAAGGCTGAAGTAGCCCGCTTGGTGATCTGTACACAGCTCTCAACCAAGCTGAGCCAGAGTTGCTCGTCGGGCGAAAGCTCGTCTTCGGAATTTGATTTGTGCCGTTGACGTGTATTACCACTCTCTCGAGCGGCTTTGGTTTGTTCCTGACACAGCCAAACGCCCACACGAGTGTAGTTTTGCAAAGCCTGCATAAGTTCCTTCGTACTTTCTTGGGAATTGAGATCTCCTTGCGACTGAGAGGCGGTTCCGGTCAATAGACCGTATAAGGCTGATTCAAGAGTTTCCAAGTGTCTCGTCAGTCGCGCCATGGCCTCCTTCACTTGCCCTTCTTTCGCCATCAGTATGACGGCAGCGTCGATTACACCCGTCTCTTCCATTGTAGGCAGTAGCTTCTCTAATCTCAAGTTCGTAGCTTGGACTTTGTTTGCGTATTCCGGTACATGTGATGGTTCAAACCGGCACATGAGCTGCAAATACTGCTCCACAAGATCCTGTTGAGGCGGACGGACGTTTATCACCTCCTTGCTTGGCTCCAGTATCGTCTTCAGATAAGTATACCGAAGGTGCGGCTGCCCAGAAGCGGAATCCAGGACGTGACTGTGCAACTCTGGAGCGTAGGTCCCTATTGCTTGCGCCGCTCTAACAGAGTCAATCTGGACCAGTTTACCGGCGTGATCCTTAATGACCTGGTGTACGTCCTGTATCTGGCGACGGGTAAGACCTGAGTGCGGTCGGAGACAGAGTTCGATGCAGTCAAAGATAGCTTCCCGCTCATTCGGGTCTTCGAAGTAGGTCAGAGTCAATTTCCCATACTGTTTGTCTGCTTTGTATATACGCTTCAGTATCCGATAAAATCCAGCCTCCTTGAACCGCAATATCAAGTCGGGTAGATCTGGGGGATGATAAACTGAAAGTAAATATTCGGCGCTCAGTTGGGCGTCCTCGGCAAGGTCATCCCCTGGATATCGACACAGCTCGACCAGGACCTTGGTAAGTGTCGATCCCGTGAAAAGAAGGTATTGCGGGTACTTGGGAAGGTTTCTGGCAACAAACATATCGAGATAGATAGTGTCTTCCTTGGCAAAGTCTGCCGAACTCATTATCTCCATTAAGATGGAGGTAATGTACTGCCTGTCTACCGTCAGCCCGAATATTTCTTCCTCTGGAAGATCACGACTTGGGCCACCAGCAAGCTGCTTTTCAGGTGAATCGTTCAAGAAGGAGTCTTCAAAGGCCTCGTTGAGCACGCTCAGGAAGCTGGGTGCGTCAAATTTGAGAATCATCCTCAAGTAGGGGAAGGATGGTTCTTGAGACTGTTCTGGTTGCGTAAGCAGCCTCTTGCTACTGCCCTTAGGCCAGCAGATACTTTTGCCGGAAAAGAGAAACCAGTAAATCTCCGCTTTGGCCTTTTGAGCTATAACATCAGGAATTGTCTCCCCAGTAGGATAGGTCTTCCCGGTCAGGATAAAGGACAGGTATGGGAAGATCTTCAGTGCATTTGTTTCTCTAGTTTCGCTCTCCAACATGCTTGTTGTGCCATCTGCATGCCCGTTCTGCATCAAAGGTACCAATAAGGCCAGCAAGTCAATGAATGGGGTGAGATAGTCGTTTAGGGCTTGGTTCCACACGTATATTAATGCATCATAGAGGCCATGCTTTTTGCAAAGCGTCGTGACTTGATCGAGATCTAGGGTTGAGGTGTCCATGTGGCAGATGATGTCTTCGAGCCTGGTTTCGAGCCCGTTGCTGACGAAGTGAGCGACCAAAGCTTTCACAACTGCGGGCGGGATGGCCGTAATCGATCCATCGATGATGTATGGTTCAAGGGTCTCCAAAAAGACGCCTTCCAGACCGGCTTCTTCATACCATTCGTACATTTCGTCGAAGAGGAAGTCGGTTTTCCCGGCGTTGTGAGAAGCTATGAAGCATGTTTCAGCCAGTTCCCGAAGGTGCTTATCGTCTCCTGCTTCTCTGCGTTTTGTTCTCTGCCCAAATGCATATTTGAGAGATGCGCTCATGATCTCCACGAGTTTATCAATGACCATGGAATGTCTCAAGGCCGTATCCTCCGGTAAGCCAACAGTCAGCTTGTTGGCGTCGCCCGTGTAGTAAGATGTCGCAAGTCGAATAGCACCAACATAGTCACCGCTTTCCATCAATGCGAACAGCCGATCTGCCCAATTAGATAGGGCGCCTAACGAAACATCGGTAAACCCAAGTAGAAAAAGCCGGCCTTTATAAGCTTTAAAGCTCATATAGAAGGCATCAGCAACGACACCGTGCATGGTAGGATCTTCATCGTCAAGCTGCTCGACCAGAGCGTGAAGTTGCTTGGAGAAAAGATCTGCATGGTAGATGTGCTTGTGTATAAGGTCGAATGCTTCAGTCATGCGCATGGTTCGATCCTCCAGCACAATGAGCCTCTGAGTGATGGTGAGGACTGTCAACACAGACCGGCTCAGCCATTGTACAGCAACAATTGGCTCTTCGCATTTCCACCGGTTTCGGGGTCTGAATCTGAGGGTTGGCGGTTTATCCTTGTTTTCAGCTGGCTCCTCTTCCACCTCAAGGACCGTGAGGACATTTGACCAGCAGTAGACGAGCTTGACCTTGGACACGACGCTGCCAGTAAGAGGATCTGGCACCTTCAATCTCACTGCAGGGAACCAAGCTAGACATCCCGTCATGGCGCTGTGTGCAGTCATTTCCTTTGGACGCGCAGATTTATGTTGTGTTTGAGCAACAGGCGTAGTGGAGACGATGACTAGCAAGTATGGGGTGAGCATGGCTGTCAAGCCCATAGAGTCCGTGGCCATCTCAACGTTTCCTAGAGGTAGAGACTGGAAGGCAAGCACGGTACTGGGCTTAAGTGTCTTCCCAACAGGCGGAGGAGCGTCTGGATACCGGCCGAGAATTCGAGTAGTTTTGACAGTCCTGCCAAGTGATCCGGTACCCCGTGTGGCAAGGTGAGAGAAGGCCATCCCTCGGTCATCAGCAGATACCAGGGCTGTGTGTCGGGTCCCCAGAAAGCCCAAGTGTGTTATCGCAGTATTGGGGACATGTCCGTCTGTTGATCTCTGATGAAGCTGGGGTAGATGTGGAATACTGAGGAACGGTCGTGAAGGACGAGTGGTATCCCATGTAAAGATATTTCCATTGGCATGTCCGCCTGCAATTGTCGTGTGGTCTGCAGAAATTGCTAGGGATATCACGGCACCTGATTCGACAGCTGGGGGGCTGGTCAACAACAGCATCAAGCAAGGTCCGGTTAGGGGGGGAAGCGCAAACCTTTTGTTCCCGGCCCAATGATCATCTTCAAATTTTGGTTGAAATCGAACACTAGGATGACTCCTTTTGACGTTCCCAGAACAATCGAAGCAGACACGGCCAGGCATGTTGGAGAGCCAAAGTTCCTCCTCCCAGATTCGGAAAATGCTAGGCCATCCAACTTCAGTAACTTTGTCCAGCGCACAACTTCCCAAGGAGGGGAGCTTGATTCGGTTTCGCTGGAGTCGAGTAGTAGATTGCTCGTAACGGATAGCGTCCTGCTATGGCCCGCCAGGAATGCGGGCGAGGAAGGCCGTGGGGAGAGGGTACCAGGCGAGCCAAAGGAGGAGAACCTCCTATCAAAGGGTCTGAAGGAGGGTGTTGGGCCTCTTAACCCGGGACGGAGTGCCAAAGACGGTAGAATGTTGCTGCTACCCGGAGATGAAACGACGGAGCCCTGTATGCGCCATCATTAGTCGGACACCTCAAACACCAGAACAGTCATCACGAACTTGTGCGGAGGGAGAGTCTCCAGAAAGCGTAGGAAAGGACTCAAGAGGGCTTGCGGCTGAGCGCAGTACTCCATCTACAGAGCCGTCCTCTGAGGTTGTCACATCGTGTTCGGCCTCGACCAGCTCGCGGTAACGGTTCGCTATGGCACTCGGCGCAATCGGAGTAAGTGCGATGGGGGATGCCGCTGTTGGCTGCTCTCCCACTTCCTCCCCATCTACACCCGTAAAGGTGGCCTGGTCGTCCTCGTTTTGTTGTCGGAAGATCTCATCGCCGCTCAAACTTTGGGCGTCGGCTGGACCAAGATCGGGTTCGTCGGCCATTATGTCGTCCACTGACCCCTCCTCATCCCGCCGCGGTGTGTTCACGCTCATCGGGGATAACCAAAGCAGCGCATGTTTCCAGTACAGTCGGTGTATTCGCCCAAAAGGTGTGCGACCTCTGCCCTCGTGGTAATCTTGAGCGTAGTGTTTCCAAGTCTGCCCAACGGTGGCGCTCTCGTAGTTGTAGTTATAGGTAATAGCTCCCGTCTTCCAAGTTGATGGATGATGGATCAAGGCACCCAGGTAGTGAACGACGCCGGGGGGGAAATGATGAACGGCGAATTGGAGATACAGAGGCTTTGTGGTGATTGACAACTCCAAACCACCTACACAACCCAGAGTTTGTCGGATTTCTGCGCATTCGTTTGTCGATGAGGTGACTCCAAGGCGCAAGACGGGATATCGACGGGAGCTTCCTTCAGCTGCTGGACCGAGTCACTGCAAGGAAGTGGAAGCTTCAGGTAGCTCGGTTCTGGGCTCCATGACCACTCACTCACTGTCAGGCCTGCCATGTGCTAACGTCAACAGTGAGGTTTGGCGCCCGATAAAACCCCCGCAAGCTAGAGGTAGAGGTACTTGCCTACAGGTACCAGGGGGCGCTCAGTGTGTGCGCAGTTATCGATAAGACCTTATCACCTCAGGGACAGGCTTGCATCATAACAACAGTAGCGACAATTTGATCCGTGTTTCCTTCCATCCTCCGCCTTCATAACCTAACGGCCACCGACATATTCTAGTTTATACATCTACAATCTTAACGCTTGTGTCTGACACTGTCAACTAAAACTCTACTGTACCACATAATCTACATCGTCACCGCGAGGCATGGCATCCATCGGCCCCCAACTCCCTCCCCATCTTCAAAAGCGCAAACGCGACTCCAAAGACAAAGAGTCAGCCTCTCCTCCGACCAAGATATCGCGACCAGACAGCAACCCAGACGAACTCCCACTTGATGATGACGACTCCGACAATGACTTTGGGCCCAGCGCACCCAATCCCAATCGCTCATATTCTGCATCTAGCATTGGCCCATCTGCTGCACCACCGCGACCATCAATAGGCCCTTTCCCACCACCCAGTCCATCGGAGGAAGACGAAAAGAGTGTTGCAAAGCCCACCACGCAACCGATCGGTCCCTCTCTTCCACCACCACCACCTACAACGACGAACATCGATGAAATCCCCCTCGAAGATTCAGACGATGATGATATTGGTCCTGCCATAGGATCATCAATAGGCCCAACCGCACATCCCGCCTCCGCCGCCTCTGCTGCTCCCAAGCGTATCTACGGCCCCGCCTTTCCACCCGCCGACCTCTCTGAGCGTCCAACCACGGATCCCAATGCCGACTCAGACTCCAACTCAGACTCGGATTCAGACGATGGCTACGGCCCCGCCCTCCCCGGCTCACGATCAGCCGCCAGCTCAAAGAATAGCCACGGCAGTGGTCCTCCCTTCCCTTCCTTCGCCCAGCAACAAGACCGAGCCGAAGAACTTCAAACCCCCAAGCGCGACGACTGGATGATCGCACCGCCTACCAGTAGTAGCTACCGTGCCCCAGACCCGACAAAGCTCAAGTCGCGCAAGTTCGCTAGCGGGCGCTCTGCCGCCACGGAAAAATTAAGCGGAGTAAGCAGCATATGGACGGAGACGCCTGAAGAAAAAATCAAGCGGTTGGCAGCGGCGGTGTTGGGTCGGGAAGACCCGTCATCTACTGCCGCTTCTTCCTACTCCTCCTCAAAAATCGCCTCCGTCTCAAACACTGTCGGGCCAAAAAACCTGGACGAAGAAAGAGTCCGTTCCTATACTGAACAAACGCGGGGACGGAGTCTAGTGGAGGAACACCAAGCTGCCATTGCGGCGGGAAAGAGGAAACTGACCTCGAGTTCTTCTGCGCCTAGTAGACCGGCGAATAAGTATGGGAAGCAGGATATTGATGATGAAGATGACCCGAGCAAGCGGGTGTTTGATCGGGAGAAGGATATGGCGGTTGGAGGCAGGATTAGCCATACGCAGAGGAAGGATCTGTTGAATCGCGCGGCGAATTTTGGGGATCGCTTTCAGTCTGGGAAATATTTATGAGGAACTCGGAGAGCAAGGGCTGGGTTTTGGACTTTGCTAGGTTATTTGTTGTCCTCTCACGCAGTGCCACGAGCTTCCCATGGTGTGACGTACCTCTGGATGAGTTCGAGAAAGAAAACACCCAGAATGAGGCGCGAACTTTCTGTACATTCTGAAAACGTATCACGAATAACGAAATCCAAAACTCAGAAAGCTTCGGTTTGACTCGGAATGGTTCATCGCATGTTCATTCCACTCTAGCCGGCTGAATCTGGCTCCATTCACTCGTCCCTATTTCTCCAAAATGACCAGGTGCGCAAGTCCATGAAAGGTGCCGTGGTCAATTTATAATCAAAATGTCCGCTCAACAATGAGGTGAGGTCTCCAATATCATCCAATGTACAAAATAAACCAAGATTCCATCCCAATAAACTCCATGCTATCCCATCCCTTCCCATCAATAACAACCAAAGCCACACACGCCCATCGTGGAGCACCACATTCCCGCCAACCGACCTTATATGCACCGAGACCAATACACACTGCTATGCATCTTGCGCACTGACCTGCTCGCTTTGCCAAATTTGCAAACCATGATTGTCATATGAAAAGATCGTATGTAACATCCTGCTCGAACCGGCAGCGTCGTTCATCGTGCTTCGTCCTTTCAATTTCGTCCCTGATGCGTGAATCCAACCCGATCGCTGGTTGCTGCTGGAGAGCAGAGGTGCTCCTCGCAGCAACGCCACTTCATCTTTCGGCTGATACTACCAATAGACATCGGTAACGGATAATGTAAAACTCGAGATACGGCAAGTAAAACAGACGGATATCGGTTGTAGAAATCAGCTTCGCACAGAGCGGCGTAGTCACCAGTCTTTCAAATTCGTATCGCCGGACTTAATTCGCCGCAGGTCGGACTCCCGCTTCAAGATTAGAAGGCGTCATAGTAGGGTTGGAATTTGCGTCCGCGATTTGCTCCCCGTTGCTGCGACGAAAGTGGGGGAATGCAGCCCTAAGATTTGCAAACACACTCCCGCCCTCGGCACGATCCGAAGAAGCTTGGGGTGAAGAGCCAGGTTGACTAGAAGCACCGTTGTTGTCCTGTCTTCGCTCACCATGACGCCGCCGAGACCCTCGTTGATCATTGCTGGACACCACATACACCGTCCTTGCTGGACGACCCAGGCCGAACAAAGCACGTCTCGGTCTGTTTGGCAGATTCATACGATTGGATCGTGGGTCGTTGGATAAAGTGACATGGATAACGCCAGGCTGGCCATCGACTGGTTCGCCGGCTGCGCGTGGCTTAGGAGTGTAGTAATCGGCCTTGCACAACGGACAGCATGCTCGCCTGCTCGTCAACCATGGGTCAAGGCATGCCGCGTGGAAAGCATGTCCACAAGTCAACCCACGCACGTCGTCGTCGTCTTCCAAGGTGTCAATGCAAATAGCACAGGTATCACCAGAGGTGCCCTCGCACTCCGGCGGCAATGCGGCGTCAATCGGATCCTCCTCCTCCTCGCCCTCGTCGTGCGAAACCCGTGCTTCCTTCGGTGGCGTCGTTGCTTCTGAGACAGCATGGGTCAAAGGCACAGTGCTGGAGGTGCTCTCCTTGGCTTCATGTTGTGGAGTCTTCGGGTCCCGGTCAGCAGGTTCGACTTGGCTTGTCGTTGGCCGGCCCTCGGTCGACATACGCTCCTTGTTCGGCAACTCTCGAGAGATAGCGTCCGCGTCATGAATACTATTCGGTCGGCTGGGCGCTGAAACGCCACCGCTGGTGGGTAGACCATCCCGCGCTCGGCTTGCGACCCAAGTTTTGTACTTGAGCATGGGGAATTTCTCGTTGACTTCGTCTATTGTCATTAGTTTCTTCTCACGACGGCGTCGGTGCGGCCGAGGCATGGCCTCCAGGTTAATCTGGTCGCCCTCCTCCGCTAGGCGCATTTGACGAGTTCGAGCATTGTATCGAAAGCAGTACTTGACGCCCACAATGATCCTGCAGCCCGGGTTAGCTGCCCATTTGACAAAACATGGCGAGGCACACAAAAAACCCACCAGAGGTTGGTAAAAACGACACCGAAGCCCAATGCCACAAAAAACAAGAGCGGCGACGACCCTCCTTTTTCATCCTTTGAATCGGTATCCCCGGATGCGGAATTGGAAGTGGCGGATGGAGGAGTGACAGTGGGCGATATTGATGTTAATGAAGCGGTTATCACAGATGAGCTGCCGCTTGTCGAAATTGCTGAGGCCGTCGCCGACGCTACTGTTGAGGTAAGTATCGAAGTACCAGTTTCGGCGACCTGCCTCGCCACAGCGCGCGCCCCTTCCAATATGGCTGGCTTAACAAAAACAACCATTTTGCCGACTGTCGACAGATGAGATGCCGATAAGATTCGAGTGGCGACGGGGTACGAATTACTGTCGCAGGGTGTCCATTAGGTAGAGATTGAGTAGCGCACGCAGCCGTCACCAGTCCGTGGAGAAACCCGCTGTGTGCTTAGTTTGCCAGAGCTCAGAGAGCAAGGAATGGTTTGCCGAGGACAAGAAGAAGGATGAGCGAGGTCGAGGGCAAAATGCGCAAAAGCCTTTCGGAAGGCTTGGGGAAGATGCTGACGAAGGGCTACCAAAAGCAACGTAAGCGGGTAGGACGCCCGAGGCGAGGGCTGATGTATGAATGGTTGATGGGAGCCGGAGGTTAAAAGCGTGATAAGCCCGGAAGGTGGAGAAGAGTGACCTGCTGAGCGGCAAAACGATGTGAACTTGCAGAGGGAAGGTGCAGGTGCAGCGGCGACTCGAGACTGCAGCACCTATGAGCGAGGAAGGTAGGTAGGTAACTGAAGATGAAAGTGTGCAGTGAGAATGGGAAAATGGTAAATTGTTAAGGCTCTGCAGCGCACGGTCAGTCGCCAGGCCACCACAAGCGCTAAAGTGGGAAGTGTTGGTCGTGGGTGATTGTCGAAACGGGGAATTCCCGAGATTGTTGCGCACTGCTGGTGCCAGCATGAAGCAGAATGGGGAAAAGGATCGATACGAAGTGGAATGGAGGATGGGAAAGCGCTACCTACCTCTACGTGTACCTCAGCTGTATGCCAGGTGGTTGTGCACTATTCAAATTGGGTCTGGGTTTGCAAAAGATTTGTGAGAACTGTGTGGTGTAAAAGCATGGAACTAGGTGCTTTCAGTGAGACTGAAGACGGGAACGGAACTTGCATGTCGAATCCTGGTTTCATTATTCATCCATTTGACTCGATCTACACACTTGCCCGGCTGCCCGGTTACGTTGAACGCATCGATCCTCTTGTCCTCGATCCACGGTGTCAATGACAAGACGATTCCACGCATCCTACAGTGCAAGTCTGCCCTTTCACAATCGCTTTTGCTCATCATGTGCATGGCAAGCGTAGTAAGTCAAAACAAAGCCACAGTGACGGGGCTGGGGGACACTGGGGGATTGGGGCATGCTTCCACTTGCGTTTTCCCCTTGGTCACAAAAGGGTCGCTCGACACTACGAGGGAGGGGTGGGTCGAATTGTCGAAGGTCTTCACCCCCGGAAGAGACGGACGGGATTGGCGGAGCCTCTAGAAAAGGAAAACAGGGCAAGAGGGCAGCAACGAAGCGAAGTCGACAGGGATGGCCGCTCATCTGTGCTTTATAACTTCCATTCGGATAACTTAACCAGCCGAAGCGACTGAGGCATGCAATAATGTTGCAAGGGTACGGGATGACGCACTGCCGCCTTGTCTCTTGACATGCTGCATTCAGTTTTCACCGTCCACGTGGAAGGGCGGGCTATACTATGTATGTACACATCAAGTTGCTGTCGAGAGTTTCGCTTGCAGACCTCCACGCTATGGTGCTGGCCATGTCATGTATATGTACCCTGGTGCAGAGTTGCAGACGTGCTTAAATTCTGGGGTACTTTGTAGTCCACCCCCGCCTACCCCAACATCTTGGCACTTCTGCATCTCTCTTTGTTCGGATCTCTTTTTCATCATTTCTATATCATCCTGTCCGGGCATCTCAAGGATAGTTGTGCGGACAGATTGTGGTTGGGCTTGTAGCATCATCCCAGAATACCATCATCTATTTCCCCTGAAGGAACTTCCATGTTCCGTTACGAAACATGAGGTTTCTGGTTTCGTCAGGGTGTCGCATGTCAAACTTGGTTCAGAGACCTTCCAGACCTCCTGGGCTGAACGGTCGTCTTTCATCATGCACCAGGGGGGCCCAAGTGCACCTAAATGCCAACTTGACAGAAAGAAAGTTGGCGATCTCATCCAGCTACAACATAGGTACCCACGCAGGGCACGCTCTCCGCGGCTTTGCAATCTAGAGGTAGTGCTGGTCTGTTTGTTAGCTTGATACCTCGGTACTCCTAGGTGCACTGGATGAGATATTTTCCGAATCTTCCCAAACCTTTCAAGGACTAATTAAGTGGCTGAGCAGAGATCCGAAAGGCATCAACAAGATCCAATACGGTGTAAATATGTATTTATTTTTGAAAAAAGCATATTCACAGCATGAAAACGCCCTAGGGAAGTTGACCCGAGGTCTCGAGCTAACAATCAAACCAGTACGTATTGGACTGCACCATGAGGGTCAAAAAGCATAGCCAGTAGACGATACTTCAACCTGATCAATTTCCTCTCTGAATCTCACAATTACACGGGCTTCGCACGGCGGCATGATAAGCGCGGGGATACCCATCAGACCATCTGGTTTTTGCGACTAGGCGACGTGAAATCTAAACCTGAAACATCCCCGTCGTTGGAGATGTTCAATGATCTTTGGGATGCACATCACTTTCGGCTATCTCCGCAGAGGTAAAATAAGGTTGTCCTGGTCTTCCATTTGAATGAAGATGTGGGAAAGGCTAAATACCGACAAGATGCTCAGCACCCAAAACAAGTTCCATCACGTTTAAAGTTACGCCGAGCGCCTGTTTGAATGGCACCGGTCTTTTTCTGTGCTGCAACCTCTGTCACAACCACCGATCTTATTCATCAATTTTGCTCGGTACAAATAGCGCCATCCTTGAGCGAAGAACAGCGTCTTCTTGAACAATTCAGTCAAATGATAATCCCATGAATACAGCACTCAACTGCCGTTCCGTTCCCTTCTCCCACAAAATAGACAGTTGACAGAAAACGGATAAAAAACTTGCCATGTTGACCATCTTTCCGAGAAACGTAACGGGTGTGTGTGACTCTGGCTTTCGGACTCCATAGCATGCTTGTGCCTGAACCTTACAGTCCACGGTTGCTTGGGATCTTCGTGACAGTAACCTTTGCCGTGAGAATACTTCCTCGAGGTATCGGACTCTGTTATTCTCCCCGACCGGTTTAGATACGGTCTCGTCAGATTTGGAGAGAAGCCAGCACGTTCATGTTTTCGCACGTGCTCCGATTGTGGAAACGGTCGTGGACATGTCCAAGATAACCAACGCATCGATCGGAACACTATCCCTAATTCATCTCGATCTCCATATCGTCAACCTCGCGCTCAAAGCATAAGGGGTACTCGCTAGAAAATACAGCTAAGACCAGCCCAGTCTTTTGACCTTCCCATCCCGTCTTTTCGCGGTCTTTCTGGGCGAGTCGGGCAATAGCTCAGCCTCCTTTGGCCGCTCCACGACGCGTGTGACACCCTCTTGGCTACGTCTTAGCATTGGTCGTGAGCAGACTATGCGGACAACCTGACAGTGGTATCAACGTGGGGTTCTAGATTTTGGTAACGAGAAAAAAGAAGATAACGAGAAAAAAGATGAGATAAAGGAAAGGAGACATTGTGACAACGTTGGGAGGAGCCAAATTGGGAAAAAAAGAATAAAAGGAATATTTTATTTGATCCGACCCAGGCTCGATCTGGGGACCTTCAGTGTGTTAGACTGACGTGATAACCAACTACACCATCGGACCAGTTGATGATAAGGATTGTGAAATTAACTATAATAGCCCTAGCGAGACAGAGCTTTTTTTAGTTGTTCGAATCTTGGACTTTCTGCAATCGTTGAGCATCAAAGGTTGAGGAAGTACAGCTCATAAATACTCACAATTTGCCTACTACTATGAGATACATTCTTTTGATGGTACCGTGAGTGGGTGGCGGAAGATCGTGAGGCATAGAAAACAGAATGCGCCAGGAACCAGAAGCACAGCCTCTTCTATAGTCAGCATCACCGAGTCCAGGCGAGGATTTCGGCGCGAAAGTGAGGCATAAGCTATAACAAGATTACATCGATTAGGGCCGATCGGTCTGTTCCTCAAGGTCCCACAAGTCGAATATTTCATTTTCGGAAGTTGTGTGTACAACGCCCAATGACGTGCCTAACCACACCCTGAGCCTGATCTGTCGTCTGGTCGCCGACCGCTCAGAGCATTCACTTCTCGAAGGTCAAGTAGACTTTGACCTCCACTTCATTTGACCAGCCAGCATCGAGGCCCATCTCTTTCCATGCGGATTCTATGTCAATGTCGAGGACATGGCTGTCCATCCTGTTGACAGTTACCGTATGGGGCGGGATGGGCTGGCCCTGAATTGTGACCATAAATTCGTCTTGGATGGATAACTCCGGAAGGTGGGATATGTAGATGCCTAAACATGGTAAATCGTCAGTCACGCTTCATCAAGTCGTTCCGAAAATTCTCACCTAGTACACCCAAGGCCTTCAGCCTAGTGCTTATGAACAATCGCCCGTTCTCGAGCAGATCGGAGCTGTGGTTCAACATAGCAGCGCATCCGGTCATCTTTCCCACCAGCCCCAGGCTAGCCACGTATACACGACCTCTGCTCTCGGTTTCGTAGAGTGACAAGGGAAAGACGGAAAGAATGTCGTAGCCGCCATTGTCGAGAGATGCCGTCAACAGAGAGGCAGATGAGGTCGTCTGAACTGGCACGGTCACCTTTCCACTCTGATGAGAGCGTACCACGTACCACATCGATGGCAGGACGCCCGAAAATCGGGCAAGAGGGACCAGTTCTGTGAGCGGACGGCCCGACACGTTGAAGATGCCCATGATCGGGGTGCCCGTGACCGCCCTGCCGTTGTAAGCGCTTATTTTGAGCAGAGACAAATCATCGTAGTTGACATATTGGTCAAGGCTACGACCAAGCACACTGGGACGGAAAATGACAGTCCTGCCTCTTGGCGTCACACCGGTCATCTGCTTGATCAAATCGAGGTCGTACTGGCCGGGAACATCTGTAATGTAAATGGGACCGCCGCTCACACAACGTGCGGCAGCGTGAAAGCCGGCATATGCGCCAGTAGTTTGGAACATGTCCCAGTCTGGGAGGATGTTCAGATGTTGGGTAAGCAAGCTGTTGTGAGCATTTGCCCAGACATGCCAGGGATGAGAAGATGGGACGTCGGGGAAAAAGTCATCCGAGTTCCTGCAAAGCATCGTGGGCCGTCCCCGGGGAAGTTGTGTATGGAAGATGATCTGAGGAGACAGGGACATGCAAGATATGGCTCTCCCGCCAAAGTACCGAAGAGATGCGAGCAGCCAGTTGTCTAGGTACGGTTGGATGAGTTCGCGTCGGACCTTTGGCGATACCCAAGTGTCGACCATGAACTGCGCATCGGTTTTGACTCCTGCCACACCACTCTCGGAGAGAAAACGATAGAAGTCATCGTAGAACTTGTGAATATCCTCCTTCGCGATGACTGTCATCTTGCCGCCGAGTGGAATGTTCTTACGTGAGCTATCTTCGCCACGCACAAC